TCAGGTTCTCGAACTTCTTACGCTCCTCGCGGGTCATAAATCCTGGAGGGGCGAGGTCGGGGTGTGTGAGGGGTTACTAGCCCCGCCCCCCGCCCCGCTTCAGGCAGGAGTCTCACCGGCCTCCACTACGTGGTCTATGGTGGGGAAGCGCTTGAAGACCGCGGTGCTGACTGAGCGCAGGATAAGCACAGCCGAAAGCCCGGCGTAGCGCATGAGCGTGCGCCGGTACAGGCGGCCCCGCTCGTCGCGTCCGTGCACCGTGCCTGCCACCACGCACATGAGCGCGTCCGGCAGCGGCATGCATAGGTACTGGTTCCACCAGCGGTGCACCACCAGCGTCACATAGAAACCTGTAGGACAGCCGGGAATAGGGGGGCTAAGTGGGGATATTAGGGCCAGGTCGTGGCAAGAGGGATGATACAGGCTCTGCATCAGAGATACCAGGGGAGGCTCATCACCCACCCACCTCGCGGGGCCACCTGGGCTGGGAATTTGGGGGTCACCCTGGCTGATTGTCACCTGGGATGTGAGATTGGGATGTCAGTATGGAGGTGGAGACACAGGGCCTATGTTCGGGGCACATAGGCAGGTTGTCACCCTGGCCACAAGGAATCACTCGGTTGGGAGCATGGGGGACCTGAAACAGGAGGCTGGGGTCACATGATGTCACTGACTTGTCAGAAATGTCCTCCGGGCAGGACTTGAGAGGATGGAGTCATATAGGGTCACTGGAGGGGTCCCTGGGACCCAGGACATGTGTGGAGCCACCAGTAGTCTCATGCAGACACAGATGGGAGACCCTGAGATGACCAGGGATTAAGCCTATGGGTGACACGGAGCTCTCATGGCTTACTGTAACCAGGTGACACCCAAGGTCTCTGGAAATTGGGGCCACACCTGGCATGAAAGATGTAGAAATAGGGGTCTGTTGCAGTTGGATTTGAGGGGGGTCTTCTGAGGAATGGGGTCTCCAAAAGGCCTGGAAATGGGTTTCTTAGTATTCGGGGAATGGGGAACTCAGGAGCAAACGCACCCAGCACGAAAGAAACTGGGATGAGACTGGCATACTGGTCACAGTAAATGACGAGCTTCTCGAAGTAGCGCTTCTGCCCTTCGGTCAGCACGAAGCTGCGAGGGAGGGGGCAGGGGGTTACAGGAGAGCCTCCCTCCTGGACACACCCAAGGTCCCTTCCCTAGTCCGCTGCCCGCCCCCCCGCCGCGTTCCCCACCCCAGGGCCGCCTCACCGATAGGCGGCACTCAGCGCCATGTAGAGCCCCAGGAAACAGACCAGCTCGCGCCACAGAAGTTTGTAGATGCTCCCGCGCCACAGCAGCAGCAGCTGCGAGAAGCCGCCGAAGCGCGCATTGGCCACGCGGGCTGTGTAGGTGACGGTCATCGCAGTGCCGGGCCGGCTGCGCCGACGGAGAGGGAGCTGAACCGGACCCCAGACTGTGGGTGGAGGAAAGGGTCCCCCGGGCTGCGGGCAGGGGCGGAGAGGTGCGGGCCGACTCAGCTTGGGGTCTCCAGCCCAGGTTCCGGTCTCCTCCCAGGCCCACTCAGTCCCGCCCTAGCCCCCAGTCCTTCCCAAGCCCCCTCTCACAGGCCTCCCTCTTCCCAGGACTCCTGGTCCCAGCGCCTTGCGTCTACCTCCCCTGGCCCTCTCCCTCCATCCTCCATCCCCAAGACCCTTGGGTCCACCGATCAGCCCCAGTAGCCCTCCTTACCTGGGCTCCCATCTACAGCCTTCCCCACTTCCTGAGTCCCCAGCGCCTCAGTTTCTAGAGTCTTAGGACTCCAGCTCTTCCCCAGCCTCGATCCCCTTCTTCAGGTCCCATCTCTGGCCGTCCCCCACCCCACTCCTACAGCTCCCATTCTCAGCCCATCCTCCACGCCCCGCACTCCCTTCTGAAGCCTTTGGAAGCCCAATCCCCAAGCTTCCAGTTCCCCCAGGCCCTGTACCCCAGGCCCTCTCCCCTGGCTGGTCTCTCCCCTACACAGTTGCCCGAGCCTACCCACCTCCCCACTTAATGGCCCTGGCTCTGCCCCTTCCCCCTTCTCCTGGACCCACCTTGACCTTTCATCTGTCCCATCCCCTCCAGCCTTCAGAGCCCTCAGCTCCCCACCCTGAGGAGTCGGATGGATTCCTGCCTGAGGACCCATCTGTCCTCAGGATCCTCTGTTACCCCAGGCCTGGGCCCTTCTCACCTGGTGGAGGGCGCAGAGACAAACGGGGCCAGGGACAGAATGGGCGGGTGAACTCAGCATTAGGTGGGGCTGAGGCCAGACCCCGGGGGGAGGGGGCTGGGGAGTGGGCGTGGGCAGCCCCTCCCTGGCCCGCCCCCCCCTTGGCTACAGCCTCAGAAGTTTGTTTGGAGAAGTCTTGCCAGTTTGTTACCTGGGGCAGGGGGCCCAATCCACCCTGTCCTCCCTTGCCCCTCCCTGTCTCTCTCTCTTAGTCACTGGCAGGTCCAAGGGATCTTGGACCTAAGCTGGGGGAGGGGGCAGTGACTGTCTCCTTCCCAGTTCCAGAGACACACACACACACTGTTCAGTGAGGCTGTGTCACTCCACAGCCGCCATAATCACACACCGTCACAAGGATGCACATAGAAACACACACCGTAGACCCAGACACAAATTTAACTTCTTTTAACGCAGCCTCCCACAACCAGGGTAACCCAGAGTGCAGTATACACTGTTACAGACTTACAAAGTCACAGAAGACACCTGTAGCTCTACCCACCCCCAACATTCAATATAGGCAGACAGACCCTAACCCACCAGGCTCTCGGCTCTCAGGTATCCATCCATATGGTACTCCAGCCACTCAGGAGCACATGGGCAGGGACCTGGGACCCTGCATTCCCTCACGATGGCACCATGTAACAAAGACACATGCAATGTCACACAACTGCTAAGCACAGACCCCAGAATGCCTTCACACAGACAACAGAGATCCCTCCCCTACAGTCCCGCAGAGCCTTCTAACTAGATGGGCTCATGCCCATACCCCTCCATAAAATTCACCTGCATTTACACATTATTACATAAGACACTCTCTCCCCAGTGCTCCCTCAACCATACACACATCTCAGGTCTCACTCTCAGTATTGCCATGAACACACAAGCTTGGGGACACAGCTTGTCCCCAAATTTGGCATGGATGTAGACAGATGCTGCCCCTTCACAGACACACCTACAAAGGGGGCACCCCCAGCCTGACACAAATAGCCCCCTTATCCCCAACATCAGACTCATAACCCAGTGTGGAAGGTGCGGAGGCTCAGAGTTCCAACCCTAAGAGGGGCACCCTTAAAGCCCCTTGTGTTCACCGAGCGCACTAGGAGGCCCATTGCAGCCCCGCCCTGCAGCCCCGCCAGCCAGGACACTGTGTTCCCGGCCTGGCAGATGTCTGCCCTGCCCCGGGTAATTAGGAACTGGCCCGGACTGGCCACCCTCAGACCCAAATCTCTGCTGTCCAGCTGCCGGACAGCCCATAAAAGGGGGAGAGGGAGTGGCGCGGCTAGCTTCAGGGCCTGGGGGAGGGCACTGGCTTCAAGAGGATGCTCTCGGTTTCCGAGCAGAGGCCCCCACTTCCTAGGACACGTCCTTACAGGCACGACAGCTCGCCCCTACTCCTTGCTCAGCCACCCGCCCCCAACTCACGTGTCCCCACACACCTCTGATTGCTGGCCCCCCACCGGCCCCGGGGCAGGTTGCCCGAGCTAGTTCACATGCTTAATAATTGTTACAGTGAAGAATAACAAACACTCCTTGGCGGCTGCGTGCCTGGTGCTGTTGTAAAGGCTCTGCTTATTTCATCTCATTGAGTCCTTACAAGCGGACGTAAGAAATTGGTGCTTTTGTTATTCCTGTTATCCAGGTAGGGAAACTGAGGCTCAGATGACACACAGCTTGTTTGTGGCACAGCTAGTTTTTGAACCCAGGCAGTTTGGCTCGGAGCCTGGGGTCTGTCACAGATTGCACCACTGTGTGTGTTTACAAGTGCCACCCCAACCTGTCCACACCCAGTGGAACAGTGGGGGGGGGTGGCATGTCTAGGCTTGGGGCTGGGTTCCCCTTACACGCACACCCTGGCACACCTGTGTGCAGCCTGAACACCACTTCCTGACTCATGCTTGTCCTCAGGAATCCTCTTTCTGTCCCCTCGAACCAGCACGGCCTTGGAAATTGCAAATGCTCAACGTCACTGCCCCAGTCTTGGGTCTCTCAAGTGGGGATGACACTGGCTGTCCAGGCAGTGGCAGAGGGAGGAGTGAAGGGATATGGGAGCCCACTAAGTACCTTCCAGCTGGTGTGCTAAACCCTTCCAGGGTCTGGTGAATTTTCCCATGACTCTGAATGACCACACTTTATGTTTCCATTTTAGGGATAAAGGGAGCGGAGCTCAAACCGCAGGAAGCATGCTGCCTATCACTCAGCGAGGCCGCTCTGGAGGCAGACAGGACTTCAGGGGCCCACCTGACCCAAGTCCTCTGCCATCCTGCCTCCTAATTAGCCCCCGTTGCAGCCCTGTGCTGGGAAGGGCTGATGCCATCCCATGGGAACAGGAATTGGGGGGCGGAGACTGTTAATCCTCAGTCTGGCAGGCCCAACCTCTGCCCAGGGCGCCCACTAATTCCCAAACCAAACAGCAGGCAGTGCTGGGCCCGCTGCCGGCCTAATCCGTTCCCCACCAGCCTAGGGATGGCCAAGGGGCCTCCCAGTTCCCACGCTCTGAACCTCAAAGGAAGTGGGCAGATGCTCCCCTTCTACTACAGGTTTTATAGCCCCAGCAGGGACACCGCTACCAGAGTTAGAAAAGCACACCCCCTTACTGAAGATACCCTCCTTCCAAAATTACCATAATAAACATACATCTCTGTTAGATCTCTGGTGTGACTTGGTCCCTCTAAATGTGCCATCTTTGTGCAGTGTACAACCTGTGCAACTGTACATAAAGGTGCTGACCCCTAACTCCTCTACATCAACATCCATGGTGATTTAAGATCATTTTATTGAGGGGCGAGAGGCAGGGAGAGGTGGGGGGCAGCTACAGCCCCCTCAGCCCCACCAGGGGGAACAGACCTCCTCCCCGCCCCCCGCCCCCCAAGTGGCTCCCCCTATACTATGGGGGGGGACTTTGTGCAAACTCTGCCCCCCCCAGGGGGGGGTGGAGGGTGGGTGTGAAATGGTAGCGACTGGGGCTGGCAGCAGTGCTACTGGGCACTGGGGGGCTTGTAGGGCTCCAAGAGGAGGGCAGAGAAGGTGTTGACCTTGTCCGCCCCCCGCACCTCGTGGGGCAGCAGCGGCAGCTTCACAATGTGGAAGTCTTCGTACAGGTCCTCCATCTGTGGCCAGGGCATAGGGCAGATGGTGGCGGCCAGGGGGGTGCAGGGCAGGGACAGAATGTGGGTCAATGGGAGGGATCAGGTTGGGGACCTCCCAGGATCAGGGGAGAATGTGGGGCAGGGGCTTCAAATGCTGGTAGGTGGGAGTGACACCAGTGAGGTCTGAGATCACCGGGCTGGACCTCCCCCTCCCTGGGGTCAGAGGTACCCAGGCCAGGCCAGCTATTGTCTTCAAGAGCCAAAATTAGGGTGAGGAGCAGGAGGTTGGGGCAGAGGATTAGAAGACAGGATGGAGTAAAAGGTCAGAGAATACAGTAAATGATCCGTGGGGCCTTGGTTGGGCTGGGCCAGGCCCCAACTCCCAGGGTCAAAGGTGTGAGGGCTGGGCAGGCAGTTGGGCATGCACACCTGGTCCAGGTACTTGGCCTGAATCTTGTGGCGGGCCTCACACATCTTGCAGGGCTTCTCAGGGTCAGGGAAGACGAGCTGGTTGACGATGATGTTGTGGGTATCGATCTTGCATTTGGCTAGCTCTTGGATCAGCCGCTCCGTCTCGTACAGGGACAGGAACTCAGCAATGCACACGCAGATGAACGTTGTCTGCTCCTGCAGGGAATGAGAGAGGACAGCGAGGGGCAAGTTCTGGCCCTGTCCCCATCCCAAGCCTCTCACCACCCGCCCGTACCATGACTCACAGGGTCCTTGAACTGTTCGCTGACGGAGCGGATGACGGGCAGCGTCTCCTCTAGCTTGGACGCCAGTTGGTCTGCGTTCATGTCCCCTAGGCCCAGCATGTTGCACATCTGTGGGGAGGACGTGGGAGGCTCACAGCTTACCTGGGGTGCCTTACAGCACCCGGGCTGGGGACTGACATCTCCTCGGGTTAAAGGTCCTCAAGCAGACCACAGGGGTCAACCCAGCTTGGCCATTTCTGGGGGATTGCGGCGAGGGGGGCTTGACTTCCTGGAGCCTCAGTTTCCCCACATGTAGACCTTACCTCCAACAGTTGTTGTACTGACCACACACCACCAGGGAGAGGGTGGCGGTGGTGGTGTGCCTAAATGTGGGGGCATTGGGCTTGTCATGTTGTCATGCTAATAACCACCCATGGGACACCGGTATGGCCTCCATTTGACAGACAAGGAAGGTGAGGCCCAGGGAAGTGAAGTGACTTGCTTGAGGTCCCAGAGTCGTGTCACACCAGACTGTAAAGCATTTGAGCCCAGGCCACCTGGCTCTGGAATACGTGTTTTCAAGCTCTGGTCTGGAGCACTCCGTGGGTGGGGGCAAGGCACGATCCCTATGGAGTAGGCGGACAGTCCCCCCGACCCCCGTGGTGGAGACCCATCCCATCCCGTGGGGAACCACAGACTGAGAGGGCGTGTGTGGGAAAGGCCTCTGTCACTGCACGTCTGCACACTCTGACACGGGGAGTGCCTGGACGCCCCGGGGCCCTGCCTGCCTGGGAGATGAAGGGGCTGATCTGGTTCTTGATCTGCATGAGGCGGCCTAGGCCCCGCTCCACGATGGTGGGGAAGTTGAGCAGCCTCAGTGTGTGGCCTGTGGGCGCCGTGTCAAACACCACCACCGAGAAGTTCATGCCCTTCACCAGCCTGCAGGGGAGAGGAGGATCAGGCCTGTTTGCCCCCTTCCAGCCCAGCCCTACGCAGCACCGCCCCCCGCTGGCAGGGCCTGACCTCATGACCTCTGCGTAGCTCATGGCCTCGTCAATGCCGGGGAAGGCACTCATGGCCTCCTGCATCATCTTCTTGCCCATGCTGAGCATGTTGTCCTCCTCGAAGAACTCGTCAGGCAGTTCGGCCACGCCAAGGCTGGGGTCAATCTCCTGAGGGCCGAGGGGTCCAGATGCAGGCCGCTGCCGCCGCTGGACCTTCCCACCCAAGCTCCAGGCGAAAGAGCCCATGAAGGGCGCCAAATACCAACCTTCATCAGTTCATGGCTGGGGATACCCCCGAGGCACTTCAGGTCTCGTGTGGTCACACGAGTGGTCAAACCATTTCACAGACAGATGGAAAATTGTAAACTGTGATCAGTGCCCCAGAGGGAAGTCAGAGCCCATGGCTGGGCCCCTGCATTGGCCATTCCCCAAATGGGGCCCCGACCTCATCCAGATCATTTCCCTAACAGGAGCCCTCCCTGACCATCCCATCTAACAATGTCGCCCCAGCTCCCCCTGCCCTGCCTTCATTTCTCCTTAACACTGAGCCCCCGCTCACATGGTTTACTCAGCACGTTTATCACCTTTATCAGCTGTCAGCACCGCGAAGCCCACAGTGAGTCCTCAACATGTATGTAGAATCCATGAAGGGATGATTGTCCCCGGGGTGTCTGGTCTGCTCTGGACTCAGTGCCTCTCTCTCCATCCCCCTCCCATGTCACCTCTTGGTGACTTCACAGGTCCCATGGTGAAGCCCCCAACTCGCGGGCCTCAGAGGTCATTTCCCTGAGGGAGCATGCCCACCCATCACCCCCGACAGTCACACCCTTGATGGGTTACTGCCAGTAACTGGGCCACCTCTAAGCTCCCACACCTCACTCTCTGACCTGGGCGTCCCTGCCTCCTACCTCTTTGGGCCATCTCGTCCCCACACCCCTGCCCCATTGTTCACTGTCAGTGTCCCTTGTGGCCGGCACCCTTATCCAGCCTGGGCTCCAGAGGGTGCCTCTGCAAACACTCCCTTTTCCCCAGGTTGGCAACATCCCCACTCTGGTTATTCCCAGCTCTCTGGTACGGCTGCACTGAGGTGAACAGCTGGGGAACACACTTGACGAATAACTCCCACGTCGCTCCCCATTCCTGAACACAACTCTCCAACAGGCACTCAAGCCAGACACACCCTCGGGAGTTTCTTCTTTCTCCTCAAACCCCATCCATCCCATTCACCCCCTGCTCTCTGCTGAGACCAGTGCTGTGTCCGATTAGAAAAAGAAGCCACTGGCTGCCAACACCCTCATCTCCTCCCAGGAAATGTCCCCATGTCCACCCCACCCCCCTGCCCTGCCTTGCCCTGCTTCCATGTCCTGGGTCTGTGAGCTGAATGGAGCTCGCACCCACCTACCTGCCTGAGGACCGTCCTCTGCCAGCATCCTTGCTCCCTCCCACAGCATCACTTGTCCCTCCCTGTTGGAGCGTTTACATCAGCAAACAAACATGCTCTGGCATCTCCTTTCTCTCCCTGCCCCCCAAAAAAGCCTCCTTAACACCACCCACCCTCAGCTCCCTCCAGCAATGGCCCTATTTCTCAACCACCTTCATGGCGATCACGGTCCCCACTCCTCAGCTCACCCACTCTGGGCTGGCTTTTGCCCCCATCCCCCATTCCCAGAGTGGTCTCTCTAGATCTGATGGGCCTGCTGAAGCCCACTATTTCTTCCCACCAAGTCCCTCTGTCCTGGAGCTCAGGAGCTCGCGATGCCTGGCTTCCTCCCACTTCACCCGTGGCTCCTTCTTGGCCTCCCTCACTGGTCCCCGCACCCCTCCCCCCAGCTGGGCCCTAAATGTTGATGTGACCTCAGTTTGTTTCTGGGCTTCTCCATTCTCTCTCATTCTCCTCCACTCGCGCAGCTTGAAATACCATCCTTGAGACAATGACTCCCAAATCAACCCCAACCTCTTCCAAGCTCACATATCTCACATAACTAAGCCACTGTCCTGGCATCTCCACTTGGATGTCCAGGGGGCACCCTGGATTCACCGAGACCAAAATGGAATTCCTTGTTTGTCCCGTCGAAACCTGCTTCTCTCCTAGGTGCCCCCATCCCGGCTGTCGAGGGAGCCAACTAAGAGACGTACTTAGTTCACTTCTTTCCCTTGCCCATTACAACCAAACATTTGTGTTGCTTTAATTCCAAAATACATTCCAAATGTGACCACTTATCCCAACATTCTGCCCCTACCCGAGTTTCTCCGCATGGCAGTCATAGGAACTTTCTGAAAAATGAATTTGGCCATGACACTGCCCGGCTTAAAATGAACAGCTTCCTATTAAACTTGGAATCAAACATAACTGCTCCCAGGGGCCTGTAAGGTCCTATGCCACGTAGCTGTGATTGACCTATGACATCTCCTTCCCTCCCCTTGTTAGCTAAACTCCGGTCACTCCGGCCTCCCTTCTGCTCTGCAAACATTCTTCATTCGTTCTCCTGTGGGTATGCTGAGGGATGATGCAGAACAGGCAGGGCATGGTAGCTGATGGTGGGTGTTCACAGAGAGGGCCTGAAGGGCCTTTGCCAGAGTGGGGAGCTGAGCCCACCTCCACTCACCATGGCGAAGAGGTTGTCATAGCCTTTGACCTTGGTGGGCACCTTGGAGAACTTCTGGTCAAATGCATCGGAGATGTTGTGGGCTGGGTCGGTAGAGATGATCAGAACACTCTCCCGCCCCTTGGACAGCTGGACCGCTAGGCTGCAGCTGGGCAAGGTAAAGGTCAAAAGGCAGGGAGTGAGGGGTCAGGCTCTGCTACCTAGGTCTGCAAAGGGGTTATATAGGGCCCAGGAGCAGGGGACCTGGATTAACAGGGGCCTTGAGACAGAATATGGGTAACTGTGGAATCAAGACTTAATCCCTGTATAGGGACCCTCTCAGACTTCACCTACCGACCCCTCTGGGTGACTACAGTGGTAAGGTTCAGCTGTCCGGGCCGGTCTGGCCTGCTGCCTGCTGCTTCTTTGTTGGCACAGAGTGGCACGGTCCAGCTGTCCAGCCAGCCTAGCTTGACCCTGTGCCCCCTCCCTAAACGCTAAGCTAAGGGGTCCCTTGCATCGCCTGCTAAATTCAGGATGGTTCAGTCCGCTTGTTCAGGGTAATTTGCCCCAGGGACCCCTCCCCCTCCTCCCAGCCGACTGGTCTGGTCTAATCACGTGCCTCCCCTCGCGCCTACCACCTCTACCCCCACGTGGCCAGAGAATGGCAAGGTTCACCAGACTAGGATAGCTTGCCCCTCCCCCGTACTCCGAGCTCACTCCGGTACCGTCCAGCATATTGGGACACTTAAGTGCTCTCCTGCGTCCCGTGCGCTGGGTTCAATATGGTTCTACCCTTGAACCCCAACGGGGGCGGTCCAAAACAGAGGGTTCCAGGCCTGCATTCAGGCACTACCTTCCATTTGCCCCAGGTAACTTCCGGGAGTACGATCCGGAAGACCCCGGCCCAGCCCCTTTGCTCGGCTTTGGGGTGGAAGAGCCAGTCCCGAACCTCCCCTTCGCCCAGTGGTACATCCCACCCGTCTTCCCGGCCCCCGCCGCAGCTTCCTTACCTGCAGGTGGTCTTGCCAACGCCACCCTTGCCCCCGACGAAGATCCACTTAAGGCTGCGCTGCTCGATGATGTTGCTAAGCGTGGGCTCCAGCGGCTCCACATCAGGCGCATCCTCGAACTCCTCTGCCTCAACCCCCCACCCGGCCACCCCTGCCGCCATCTTGGAACCGGCTCACGTGATCAAGCGGAGCGCACCACGAAAAGAACTTACAGGGGAAATTGCCTAGCACATACCCATCAAGCCTAGGAGCCTGAATTACTTTCCTCATGGCTTGATTTTTAGGAGATAATAGAAACTATATTTCCAAGGTCTTTCGCTTCTAGGGTTCACTTAGTCGCCCTCTTGTCCAAGTTTTTTCAAAGACTCCCCCTGCCGAATTAACATATTGGTACTTTTCAGACTACGCCCCTTCTCTGATTGGCTCCCAAGTCTCTCAGCTCTCCTTTCATTGGCTACATTTTTTCTCACTTTCACCAATCATTCTCACCTCCCGGTAGCCGCCAACCTCTCCTTAGCAACCAGCCAAACACCCAGTGCATGCCCTTTCCACGAAGTTAGATCCGAGGTCCGCCCTGGCCTGACTCCATAGGTTCAACTTCTTGTCGATCATTTGTCCTTATTCTCCAAACTGGGTCCCAACATCGCCTCAGGTCCGTCTCCTCTGCTATCCAGTTGGCTGTGAGCCACCCGGCTCTTGACGCAAACCAATCAGAGACGAACCGATTAGTTGGCTGAAGACAGGTCCCTGGACTGCATGTGGATTAGAGGGAGAACAACTCCAGTTGTGGGCAAGGTCCGCCGACCTTCGTCCAGTGCGCCCTGAGCCCCATGCTGGGCAGGCCAGGGCAGGGACCACACCTACAACTGTGGTCCTCGTCATAGAAGGGACCCTATTCCCGGAAACCTTCTTGCACTTTGCTTCCTGTTCGAGGGGAGACCCTAGCGAATTCCCTGTTTGAATCTCTGTCCTGGGCAGGAATACAAGCTGAGTGCCAGGCCTTTGGCGAACACTCTTAACCTTAGATAGACTATAGCCTAAAAATACGCGCGACTTCATTTGAGTATTCCAGCCCATAACACCCTTATTCTCAGTGGGGACCCCAACTCCACGGAGCCAGCTGTATTTCCATTCCCAAATGAGAGCTCCATCCCAGAGACAGGTACCCAACCAAACCAGAGATATCCCCATTTCTAGTCAGGAGGGTGTGTGTGTGTGTGTGTGTGTGTGTGTGTGTGTGTGTGTGTCTAGGCTAGATATCTGCCCTCTAGACCGAGTTCGGGACCTCGGTTTCGAGGTGTCAGTTGAACACACAGTCTCAGACGGGGTCCTTTCCCGCAGAGTATCCCTGGTACCGGAAGGGGATCCTAGCCCCGGAAAGGTAATGTGCCCCCAGTTTCAAGTGGGAACCTCACTCCGTAGAGCCAGCTACAGCCCCAGTCCCAGACAATGGTTCCAGTCCCGGGGAAACCGCCCAAATCTAGCTGGATTATAAAAAATCCGCGTGGCTGGCGGGGCGGGCCCGTGGCGTCAGGTCTTACCCCTTATTCGCCCCGCCCCTTCTACTCCGCCCCTACTGCGGACGCTTGAGGGCCAGATCGCTCTTCCCGGCATGCATTGCCCGGGACGGGGCAAGTCGGGCGCCAAGCGCCGGGCCGGAGCCGCCTTCCCGGAGTCCTTTGCGCGGCACCTGGCGACAAAATGGCTGCCCGAGGGAGACGGGCGGAGCCTCCGGGCCGGGAGGCGCCGGGCCCCGCGGGCGGCGGCGCTGTCGGGAGCCGATGGGCTGAGTCGGGGCCCGGGACGTCGCCCGAGAGCGGGGACGAGGAAGCGTCGGGCGCGGGTTCTAGCCCGGTGTCGGGCGGTGTGAACTTGTTCGCCAACGACGGCAGCTTCCTGGAGCTGTTCAAGCGGAAGATGGAGGAGGAGCAGCGGCAGCGGCAGGAGGAGCCGCCCCCGGGCCCGCCGCGACCCGACCAGCCTGCCGCCGCCGCCGCCGCCGCGGGCCCTGGGGATCTGAAGAGGAAGGGCGGCCCGGGCCCCACGCTCAGCTTCGTAAGGAGCCGCGGGGGTGGGGGCGGGCGCCGGGGCCTGCCTTGGCAGAGGGAATCGGGGCCCGAGAAAGGGAATCGGGATCCAGGTCCACCCTCCGGCCCCGATGAGGGGGCCGTCCGGTCGCCCGCTGAGGATCCGGAACCTGGATTCTCGACGAGAGGTTTGGGGGCGGGGGTGGGGACCCCCGGAGCCCGCCCGCGGGGACCGGGAGCCAGGAGAATGGCATTCGCAACAGTGCTCCGGGGATGGGGAAATCAGGATGCCGGGATTCCTATTTGAGTGGTTCTTAAACTTGGATACTGGGACTATCTCCCACTGTGGGGAAGAGGGGCAAATTCAAATCCGGAATCTGAGCTGTGTGGATTAGAGACTCAGTGCTTACTGTGTGACCTTAGGAAATTTGTTGTGTTTCCCTGAGTCTCGTTTGTCCAGTGTCCATTTATTGAGCACCATACCGTATGCTGAGCATTGTGCTGGGTGTTGGATGTGCCGTGTTCAACATGACAAGATCGTTTTCCCGGAGTGTCTGGGCTGGCCTACCCTCAATTTTCCCATTTGCAAAAATGGTTACCATCGCATCTTGTGATGTGATGAGGGTTCTGTGAGGCCATCCCGGAGGTTAGTACAGGGTTTGTCTTAAACGAAGGGCTAAACCACCAGTGGTTTTTAGTTGGGAATGAACAATCTCCCCCTCCCCCAAGTCCCCTCAATTTGGCAGTCTGGAGAAATTTTTGGTTGTCAGAATTGGGGGAGGGGTGCTGTTGACATACCTGAGTAAAGACTAGAGATGCTGCTCAACATCCTACAATGCACAGGATAGCTCCCCCCACCCCGCAAAAATGATGCAGCTCAAAATGTCACTAGTGTGAGGTCAAGAAACTCTAGGCTAAATAAATGGTAACTATATTGATGGTCAACTCTGAGCCTGCTTTGTTTCTGGTATTGAGATCAAGTCCCTGGAGGCCCCTGGCTGGCTCAGTCGGTAGAACACGCGACTCTTGATCTCAGGGTCTAGAGTTCAAGACCCACGTTGGGTGTACAGCCTATTAAAAAAAAAAACAAAACTTTTTTTTTTAAGATTTTATTTATTAGAGAGAGAGAAGGAGAGAGAGAGCATGAGAGGGGGCGGGTCTGAGGGAGAAGCAGACTCCCTGCCGAGCAGGGAGCCCGATGCGGGATTCGATCCCGGGACTCCAGGATCATGACCTGAGCCGAAGGCAGTCAATTAACCAACTGAGCCACCCAGGCGCCCTAAAAAAGACGTACTTAAAAGTTTTTTAATAACCAAGAAAGAAAGAAAGAGTGGAAAAAAAAGAAAAAGAAAAAGAAGTAGCTAATTCACAGCCCAAGTATTAATTTGTTCAGGGATCAAGTCCCTGTGGTGTGGAGAAAAGTGTTGACTTGAGAGTAACAGACTGGAGGTCAAGTCTTAGCTCCAACAGTGTGATTTTGGGCAAGTGATTTAACCTCTCCAAGCCTCATTTTCTTCATTTGTTAAAAGTGAGTGGGGATAAACCCAGCAGCACGGGTTACTTGATGCTGGCTGAGGGGTAGAGATGGGAGGATGTCTGTAAAGCCTGTTGCTGCCCGTGGACACAGAAAGTGCTCAGTGGGAGAAGGTGGAGGACCAGGATGAGGTCTAGAGTGAGACTTCTTTTGGAGGAAGGGAGAGGGTCAGGGTTCTAGGTTCCTGGCTTGGTGTAAGAACCAGAGGTGGAGGCCGAGTGACCCTTTGTGAGTGGGAGTAGCAGGAGTTGTCACTGCCTTTTTCACATTTCTTCATCGAGGGGTACCTTAAAGAGGCCAGGTGAGGTGCAGGGGACACAGTGTCCTTTGTTGGGTAAGGATGCTGCTCTGTGACGTGGACCCATCTGACCCTGAATCCAGTTCCATTGCTTGCTGTCAACCAAGGGTAGGCTCTCCTTTCTCAAAGGTGTTCCCTCATCTATGAAATGGGGATGGTTGTAACCTTCCTCTTAGAGCAGCTGTGAAAGTGAAGGATGATACATCAAAGTACTTGGCACAGAGCTTAGCATACAGTGAGTGCTCAGTAAAGGGAGCTGTTGCTGCCTGTATGGTCCCTGCTAGGGGAGGGTGAGGACAGCCTGTCCCCACTGATGTGGGGGTTCTTCTTGCTTTTGGGGAGGGCAGCCCAGGGGCCCACGACTGCCAGGGCATCATGGGCCCAGGGCAGGCGCTAAGAATCGCGTGTGCTCCTCTCTGATTGCTGCGCAGGTCGGCCGGCTGGCGGAGCTGGGCGCGGCGTCGGGACGGGCCACCGGGCCGGGCTAGGAAGGTGTAGTGGGCCTCAGCGCCGCCAAGGCCGGGCCCGGCTCCTGTAACCGTTGCAGTCTTCTGTCCCTTCACCCAGGTGGGCAAGCGCAGAGGCGGAAACAAACTAGCCCTCAAGACGGGAATAGTAGCCAAGAAGCAGAAGACGGAGGATGAGGTGAGCAGGCTGGGTGAGGGGGGCCACCCGCGGTGCCTTTCCCTTCCAGCCTCAGTGTCTGGCTGCTGAGCCCTTTCCCTTCTGTCCAGCCCCCGGGGCCTTGGATGTGGGAGCTGGGTGGGGGACGAGGGCTTTCAGCAGTTTCCCCAGATAAATTGAGTCTGCACATCTTTACTTCAAACCCAGGACCTTAAGGGTGACATGGGATGGGGGTGTGTGTGTGTTGGGGGGTGTCAGCTGTCTCAGGACAGTCCTGACCCCAGTTCCTGGCCTCCTTGGTATCCCCTTGCAACCCCTGTGTGCCCCCCCCCCCCACAGGTATTAACAAGTAAAGGTGACGCGTGGGCCAAGTACATGGCAGAGGTGAAAAAGTACAAAGCCCATCAGTGTGGCGATGATGATAAGACTCGGCCCCTGGTGAAATGACCCCCTTCCCCCGCCTGCCTACGGCCTGGGACTCTCTGCGATGTACATAACTATTTAATGCAGCGGCAGCGGCGGCGGCCTTTATCCCCCAAGGACTTCTACACAGAAGGAAATCGAGATGCTTCCCGCAGCCGCGGACGATTCTCCAGGACTCTTTTTTACCTTGAGCACTTGCCTCCTGAGACTTATAGAACAGTGGTTTACTGTCCCCTCTCCTCCCACCTCCTTGCTCTCTCTGGCTCTTTCTGTCTTCCTCCCCCACCCCCACCCCCTCTTAGCCATCACTTCTGGGAAGTAAAGAACTTGACTTAGTGCCGGAGCGGTGTGCTTGGTTTGCCTTCTTTGTTCTCCACCCTAAGCACTCCCCTCCCCCCCCATTGCCTGGTTCTATACCTGGTCCTGGGTCTGGCATGGTGAGGGAGTTATTTGGGGGCGTGGGGAGGACAGGGGTGCATCCCCTCCTGTTGGCCTGGACTCTCCTCAGGACCCATTTCCCCCTACCCCTGACAGAGCCCCAGTGTTGCTGCTCATGTTCAGTGTCCCATCACAGCCCCATTTGGCTGGGCCAGAGCTGTCAGTTTGTTCATTCAGCTGACACTTGATGAGTGCCCGCTGGGTGCCTATGCTGTCCTGGGCCTCGGGGCCGTAACAGTGAACAGAACAGACCATGGACACTCCCTGCCCTTCTGGAAAGAAACAGACAAAAAGGGGAAGCCGTTTTGGGAGGTGACTGGGAAAAAGTACAGGGGGAAGGTGTCTGTTTCCCTTGACATCTGGTCTGAGTCCTTAGGGAGGTGAGGAAGCAGGTGGAGGGAACAGCCAGTGTAAAAACAGGTGGGAGAACATGTGGCCTTTGTGGGG